TGGCCTGGGATAATAATTTCGGGAAGAAGTTGGTTCTAAAGTATTGACGTGTTGGTTCTGGAAGACCTCAGTAATTTCATCAATTTCAGTATCAGTACCAATTTCTTGGTCAAGAGTATTGATGGCTCTAAGAGGTCTGTCTGGCGTATCACGAATCGTAGTTGTGGAGGTCATAAGGGATTCGATACGCTTAATCCTGTCCTGTGCTTCTTCAATGGCACTACGTTTTGATAGTTGTTTGGACAAGTGTAAGGGGATTTCATGGGGTATGAAAGGCGGAGCATTATCAGATTGAATGGGGATAATTTGTTCTTTCTGAAGCAAGGTTTCTACACGAGAAAGCTGATCGCCAAGTGTCTGGAGGTGTTGGTTTGTGTAGTTATTTTGTTCCATGATGCTTTTGACATCACGGGACGTGGATGTGGTTGTGTCATTGGCGCCTGCCTTAGTCTTGAAAGGAGAAGCAGTAAGTGTGACTGTTCCTGACGCCTTTGTCTTGAATTCGATTGCCTCGGCTGGGGGATGGATGGCTTCAAGAGCCTCACCACGTGATGTCTGCCAGGTAATGGTGGATTTGGTTGTGACATTTAGGGATTTGATTGTGGAGAAAGGAAAATCAATATTGTTGTCGAGACAATACTTTTCAAACCATGTGAAGAAAGGGGCTGAGAACTTGTGTTGTATGCAGAAAGCATACCACTTTTCTCTAATAAGGATGGTTTTTTGAGCTGAAAAGGTTTGGAAATACCATTGTCTTTTCGAATCATTGGCCGCAGAGTAGAAATCTTTGCGTAAAAAGTCTTGATCGATCTCATAAACCTTTTCTATCATGTAGAGCTGATGGACCTGATGATCGGGATCTTCAAATTGAGAATCATTTGGGGATGGAGGGGAATCATGATGATCTTCATTTAGGGGAGGGTTTTGCAGACCTTTGTTTTGAGAACTAATTTGTGTAAGCAAAGGGGTGCTGCGAAGAGGATGGATGTCTTCTTCCTCAGTCTGTACGCTAACATTGTCCTGGTAAACCGGGTTAGCAACTTCTTTGTTTTTGACACCAACGAGGTTTGGATACCTTGTAGGCATTCCTGAAAATGATTTTCGGGAAGGGGCTTTTGAATAGTTTGAGGGAGTAGCATGAGAGAAAGAGGATCTAGAACTTTCTATTTCTTAGATAGAAGGTCTAGATCTTTCTATTTCTTGGATAGTAAGTCTATTGGGCCTGTTGGAGTTAAATCTAACCTTTACTGTGCCATCTGAAAATTGAGATATTTGTTCCAACCTTTTATGCTCGATCTTTGAAGGAGGGGCTGCATGCTCGAGAGTCCACTCTGTCGGGAAGGTGACTTCATTCCAAGTGATGGTCCTCGGAACATAAGTTTGTGAATTTTCGTCACTAGCATGAAGAAGAAGGGTTTCTCCTTTGGGAGACTCACGAAGAGCATAGGGGCTGACTTGGGTTGTATAGACTTTGTAGTGGATTCTATAGACAACATTGAAGGGTATGGCTCCATCCATCATTTTGTAACCACTACTTGAAACATTGAGGGTTAAAGTATGGAGGATTGTTGGATCATCAAGAGCTACTGAATAATTTGGAAAACAATTGAAGTATTGTGAGCCATCAAAAAGACTAGTTTGGCAAACTCCTAACAGAGAGGTTTCAAAATCGAGATGCCTACAATCCCTCAGGGTAAGCATGATAGCAGTGTTAAGTCCTCTTGATGTAAGAGGTTTAATAGCAATATATATATATATATATATTGGAAGGAGGTCAACCGTGCAAATCTATATCTATACTATTATTAAAAGTACAAAGAGTTTTAGTATTTCAGTATATTAATGAATCTTTTAATAATAATATAGTAGTAGAAAATACTAAAATTCAATAAATGGAAATCTAATTAAAAAGGAAAATATATAATATTAAAAAACTTATTTATTTAATTCAATAAAAGGAAATCTAATCAGAAAAGGAAATATATAATACTAAAAAATTTATTTATTTCCATAAAAGAAAATCTAATCAGAGAATGAAATATATAATATTAAAAAAATTATTTATTTATTTAATTCAATGAAAGGAAATCTAATCAAAGAAGGAAATATATCTATACTATTTTTTTTTTTTTATATAATACATTTTTAATAATAATGCATTTAATATAAATTCAAAATAATTTCGGTTTTGTGTTAGCTAGAATCATGTATCAAATTAATAATAGACTCCTATTAATAATAGACTTGTATATCAATTATACTTCTATAATTGTGCTCATAAAATTATATATCAACTATGAAGTAGCACATCTCTCTCTCTTGGTGTATGTGTTTGATTAACAGCAATGGATTTAAATATTTTATTTTTTGTGTCCTTTATTCTTCAACTTTTTCTCTTTGTTACAGTTTTTTTTTATTCATTCAGATATTGTGTTCTGATCAAGTTTTATTTATTTTCTTATTTGTGTATATTGAATTTCAATATGATGAATTCTACTTCTTCTCTTAGTTACAATTTTTTTTTTTTTATTGCTGTAACATTGTTATTTTTTCCTGATCAAGTTTTATTTATTTTTTATTTTCTTTTTTCATGAGTATTGAATTTCAAGCTGATAAATTCAAGTGTGTTTCAAGTAAAGACAATTTTGCATCGTAATTTAAAGTTATGAAGAAGACCATATCGATGCAAGTCTGAATGGTTTTTTAAAAGTTTGATATTGAAGTGGATATTAGTATGATTGTTCTGAGTATTTTTCATTAGTTAATTATTATAGTTGCCTTAGTTAAAAAACAACACTATAAATATTCTAAGTATTCTATACTTTCTTGCAGAAGTTCACTTGATCACTCTTTTTAAGGTACGTCTTATTCAATTTTCGCATCAATTATCATCAATTTTCTTTATTTCTAATGAAAGGTATGTTTATTATGCTGATGCTATTCTTTCTTATATTAAAAGATTGTGTATTTTCATTTTTTGTATATATATATATATATAATTATATATATATATTTTGAATTTTGAGTAGTATGGAACAAAATTGATTTTTAAAACTGATTTAACTTAGTTGAGAAAGAATTAGAGGACAAAGTTTAAACGAATTTAGCTACTTGTAATTTATTGATCTCCTACAAAGTGTCCCAACTGAAACTTGATACACAGATGAACATTGTAATAATTTGCATATAATAATAAAATAATTTACATCAATTCACAAAAAATATTAATAATTTACGTCACTCCCTTCTATTCCTATAATTTGTATTCCTAAATTGTTTTAAAAAATAAAAAATAAAACTAAAAATATTTTATGTACAATTTAGTCTCCTCCACTCTTCTTCTATTCCTAAAATTCAGAAAAAATAAAAATATAATAATTTACATATCCTCCATGTAGGTGCATAAAATCTCGGACCGAACACTAAGGTTCAATATGAGAATTTGAATGCTCGAACACTCAATTGAGAACAATAGAAGATTGCCAAAATACTCCAAAATATTCGAAGAGAAAAAAGAAGAAATAAAAAGCCGAAGAGCAGCTAATGAGAAAGAAAAATAGGAACAACGAGATCAAGGAAGAACAAGGGCAAATAGAACCGAGTGTCTTTGATTTGGATCTTGGCCCCCTATTTATATCTGTACAAGGAGATTTTTATGGGACCGTTACTGACTGTTTCATAAATGGACATTATTTCTTCCTGATTCCTTGTGATTTTGATGGTGGGCGTTATTCTCAGCTGTGTTGACCAAGGCTTTGGATTGGGCCTGCTGGGCTTTGTTCTGCTTTTCAGGCCAATTTGGTGTTCAGTGTCTTCCTTCTAGACCTTTAGTTGCTTGGTGCGGTTTTTGGACTCTTGGCCCAATGTATCTTGGTTGACCTTTTTTATTGACTTGTGAGTGGTGGGAAAATTTTCCTCCACACTCCACTCTCCTATTACTAGAATTGTAATTAAAAAATAAAAATAAATGGTGAATATAATTTAGGTATTACTTACAAAATAATTTAGGTCTAATAATAATAAAAAAAAAAAAAAAAAAAAACTTTTATTATGACAAACGCAACGAACCCAAGTTGAATCAAAAATCACGACAGAAAAGTAAGCACGCCACACAAAGAACACAGATTTATAAGTAGTTTGGCAAACAGCCTACGTCCACGGTTGGGATCCGGCGAAAGTTTTCACTATGTGTAAAATCGGAGATTCTAAGTTTTCAACACCTCACTCTGTTTCTATACGAACTTTAGAGTCTCTCTTATCCTCCACTCCAAACCTTAAGCGCCCTTATATATCGAGCTACAAGAGAATAATTAGGGTCCATGACCCATAAGCAAAAAACGGGTCAAAAATTTTTCGACCCAGCACCAAATTCAGGCAACAATATCACAACTTTACATCCCCTCCACTATCCTTCTACTCATATAATTTGACCAAAAAAAAATTTAAAAATACAACCTCATGCCTAACTTAAACTATTTCTATTCCTAAAATTCACAACAAAACATAAATAAAAATAATTTACATCTCTACCACTCTCCTTCAATTCCTAAAATTCAAAATAATAATAATAACAGTAATAGTATAATAATAAAAATAATTTCCATCTCCCCTAAAAATTAACATAAAAAATATATTTTGATCTTCTTTTTTTCATTGTTGTTTAATTACATTGAAAATTATTATAATAAAAATGTTTAATAAATTAAATTAAATTATATTATTGTTCACCAAGAAATTGAACTTTAAGGTTTTAAAGGCCAAATTATAATTTTGTTTCAAATTAGATTTTACCCACGTGCAAAGCACATACCGTTTTACTAGTTACTTAAATAAACAAACAGATGTTTTGCATTCACACGTTCTGCATGCTGCATATCGTGGGTGTTTCTGTGTTTGTGTGTGTACATGATTACATGCATGCCAATCAGAGGAAATATGTGCAAATGGGCATGGAAAACTTGTCTGAAAGAAGTAATGTAAATCTACTTTGACTGCATCACCTTGTCAGGCTTGCCCATCCATTTTACTTCACCGCCAAGTTTTTCATATTTCGCTGCCAATGTACCTAGAAAAATGAACAAGAACTAAATCAAAACAGGTAGAGACATACATACAGAAGCTTTAAAAACAAAGAATACAAAAAAACAATGGATTCGGTTCATGCCAATAGCACCTTCGAAGTGGTAGCGTAAATGCAAATGAAAAATTAAAACGTGTTATTTGGAGCATATGCTCATTTCCAACGAAGAAAAATCTATTTTTTATGACACGGACAAAACTGGATTAGCTAAAGACAATTAATACTAAGATAGATGGAAAAATAATTTTCAAAAACTATTATGTGAAAAATATTGTAGGGGAAAAAAAATAAAATAAAATAAAAATAGACTTGAAATGTTCAACATGTTGATTTCAGATTATGCTGAGCCTTCAACATGTTGATTTCAAATTATGCTGGAGAACTTGATAAAAGGAGGTCCTTGACAGGGTATGTCTTCCCCTCTTTGTGAGAGTGTGATCAATTGGAAGGTGACTTTGCAGTCCACAGTTGCATTGTCTACTACTAGGCAGGCCGCTACAAAGTTACATGGCTGGAAGGTTTGGTTGGTGATTTGGGGGTTGCAATGGGATGATTTGACTATGTTTTGCGATAACCATGACTAAAAATCAGATGTTCCAGACCAAGCACATTGATGTCAAGTTGCACTTCATCAGAGATGTGATGTGAAACCATAGTATTATTGTTGCAAAGCATAAAACGGAAGTGGAGATAAATAGCCCAAAGGGCTACATCACTTTTATAATACTCTCTCAATTCATACACCATACAATGGTGGAGGCTCCTTTATATAAGAGAAAAAATTATGACAATGAAAAGAATTAGAAAATAGGAAACAAGGAGGATTTTTCTCCATTGATTCCTCTAGTAACACTAAATCTTCAATAATAGGAAACAACATCAATTACTGAAAGATTTTCCTCCACTGATTCCTCCATTAAATCTTCAATACTCTCCCTTAAGTTGGAGCATGAATGCCCAACTTGTCATTGAGATAACGAGTAACAACAAGTGTGAACAATGAAGAGAGAAGACGAATAACAATGCTACCGAACACACCGACAGCCCAAACAAGTCAACAAAAAACTGCCGGAGGCACGGCAAAGGCGATGACAATGCTACCAAACACACCGACAACCCAAACAAATCGATAAAAACTACCAGAGACAGAGTAAAGACAAAGACAATACTACCGAACACATCAGTAGCCCAAACAAGTCAATAAAAACTGCCGGAGACATGGCAAAGGCAAAGAACATTACTGTCGAACAAACCGGCATCCCAAACAAGTCACAAATAGCACTGAGAAACCCTTAGTAACATTTCAGATGCTAAGGGAATACCCCAAAATAGGGGTCCAAACCTAGGAAGAGAAGTTAGACTCTGATACCATGTTGTAAAGTATAAAACCTCTGTTACATGGACTTTTCAAAAGTAGTAAAGTACCCGTATCAGACACATATCCCTCGGACATGGGTATGGGATATGTGTCCGACACTTTTGGTTGGACATGTACTTAAAAAGCATATCCAATCATTCAATTACATTATATTATTACTTTAAAATGAGTTAAATGTCTATATTGAACATTATATTAGATAAAAACATTACTCTACTCTAGAAAATAAAATAAAATAATTAATAAAATGAATATTTAGCCGTGTCCGTGTGTCCTTCTATTTGGAGATTTGACACGTCCGATGCATGGATACATACCTGTGTCCGACACCCGTACCCGAGTCTATGTAACATAGCATAAAACGGAAGTGAAAAGATAAATAAAACAAGTAGAACACACACATATTATGTGGTTCGGCCACTAGGGCCTACATCCATACAATGGTAGAGGCTCCTTTACATAGGAGAAGAAATTATGAGCATGGAAAGAATTAAAAAATAGGAAACAATGAGGATTTTTCTCCATTTATTCCTCTAGTAACACCAAATCTTCAATAATAGGAAACAACATCAATTACTGAAAGATTTTCTTCCACTGATTCCTCCATTAAATCTTCAATAGTTATTGTAGTGAGGAAGATTGGGACAACAGAAAATCCGACGGATGTGATGACTAAGGTCATTCCTACTATCGTGTTTGCATTTGTTGAGGCCCTTAGGGGCATGTGGAGGAGGCAAAAAGGAGTACCTGGGATTGCGGAGGTTGGCGGAATTCGAGCCAAGGTTAAGATTTGTGATGATGGAGTGCCAAGGACATAAATATGGTATTCATAGATTTAGAGAAGGCATATGATAGAGTGCCAAGGACATAATTTGGTGGGCTCTACAAAGAAAACAAGTACCTATAAAGCTTATAACTCTTATCTAGGGTATTTATAGTGAGACATTGACTAGAGTTCATACTATATGCAGAGATACCAATGAATTTCCTGTAAAAGTGGGAATACACGAAGGATCAGTATTAAGTCCATACCTATTTGCAATAGTGTTAGACGAAATATTAAAAATTAAAAAATTATAAATAAAAAAAAAAAAAAAACAGAGATCTTCAAGAAAACATTTTGTGGTGGATGACATAGTCTTAGTAGATACCTCTAGGGAAGCCTTAGCAACAAAATTGGAAATATGGAGAAAGACATTAAAAGCAAGAGACTTAAAAATTAGTAAAACTAAAACAAAGTATATAGAATGTAAATTTGTTAAAGTAACAAATGAGGACAATAGAAGTATCATAATTGAAGAACAACGAGTTACAAAATAGCTATTTTTATCTACAAAAAGATGGGGAGATAGATAGTGAAGTAGGTTTGGAGAAGGGTGAACAAAATGGTGGCAAGCTAGTGGCATCATTTGTGACAGAATAATACCAAATGTTTTAAAAGGAAAATTCTAATATTAACGATTATTAGACCAGCTATTTTGTATGCAGCAAAGAGTTGCAAGTTGAAAAAGACACAAGAACAATGCGTTCATGTAGCGAAAATAAGGATGTTACATGGGATGATAGGAGTGACTAGAAAAGATAAGTGAGAGGAACATGTGAGGGAAACATTAGGTACAGCGCTTATAAATGACAAAATTAGAGAAATAAACTTAGGTGGTATGGTCATGTTCATTGTAGATCCGATGATACTCCGTTTAGAAGAGGAAGAGTTGTTTGCCTAAAAAGTAAATGACCAAGAGGCCAACCAAAATTTACATGGGAGACAAGGTATATAACAGGAAAAATTAGAAAATCAGAATTCATGAGGCCAATCCCATCCATATGAGAGAAAGGCAAGGATAATGACAACGATGATGATGATATATATATATATATTGGCCCATCCATATGAGAGTAAGGCAAGGATAATGACGACGATGGTGATATATATATATATATATATAGAGAGAGAGAGAGAGAGAGAGATGGATCAAATGTGCAATATAACTATAACGTACCAGTATCAAAACAGGTTAACAAAAGGAGGTGATTCACCCTTTCTTCCATAAAAATGATCGACAGAATTTCCAACATCAAAGGAAATATTGGCTGAAGCGAAGTCAACTCTGTATCAGTATGGACCAATATGATTCTGTGACACGATTCACTAATATAGCGAGTTGGGACCAGATTGGCTGGATCAGTCCCATCCCACGAGACATCACTCTAGTGATGAGACATTTAATTTACTGCCTAAAGCATGACCCACACCCCCAATAAGGCTCTTGGTCCTTCCACTCCATAACACACTGCCATTGCAAGAGTTTTTACCTTATCTCCTCACTCTTTCATCTAAATCAAACCATAAAACGTTATTTTGTGTTCATACTTTTTACTTTTTGCCGCTCAGCCATTGGGTTGCATGTTTCATACTCAGGTATTATTAAAAAAAATTATATTCTATTCAAGTTCTCTGAATTTAGTTATTCATGGACAAAGCCATGAGATGCAAGATTGCTGAATCATGTCACAGCATCCAACTATCATGTTATATCATAGTAGACTTGTGAAATACTGCTCGTACTAATCTTTCAAACAAATTTTGCCTTTTGATTTATTTTGTGAATTAAATTTTAGTATTTCTAAATGTTTCATTATTTTTAAGGATTTTTAAAGCCTTGTATATAGTGTATCTAAGGTTTGTAAAAAATAATGGTGATGATACAGCACCCGACACAAGATACCACAGTGAATATCTCCAACTTCAGCTTTCATTTTTTATATTGGCTGTTAGTTTAAGTATTTTATTCAACATAATTTTCAAATATTTTGACTGATATGTTCCAAAAAAATATTCCATTTTTTAATCATTTTTATATATTTTAAAGAATTTGCATAACATATTTAAGTTAACTAGCACAAATTTTTAATACCGTATGTCTCAGCAACTTTTCTGTTTTAATCACATCTTTCAGCAATTTAAGTAATATAGGGGCCCAACGTCCCCGTTGGCCACACCTCCGACTAGGTCAGACTCGATACCATTTAACAGCCCCCACCCAAACCGACACAATATTGTCCGCTTTTGGCTCCCCTGGACTAGACTTCCCAGGAGGTCACTCATCCTGATACTACTCCAGCATAAGCACGCTTAACTACGGAGTTCTAATGGGTTCAAGACCATCATGGATTTAAAACGCGTTGTGTCATAGAAGGGTGTTGAACCTACATATATAGCACTTCACCTTCACCTTCACCTTCACCTTCCCCTTCCCCAAGCAATGTGGGATCATGACACCCGTAGCCTGCCATTGTGGTAGCTTGCCCAATGTCTTGCACCCGCCCACAAAAATCGTCAGAATCACCCCCCCATGGGGCCTGATGTCCTCGTTGGCCATACTTCCGACTGGATTCTTTCTCTGATACCATTTGTAACAACCCACTCCACCACATATTATGATATTATCCGCGTCGTGCCCGAGCCCGCACAGTTTTGCTCTTAGGTTTAACCCCAAAAGGCCTTGTACCAATTGAAGTGTACAAAACCTACATATATAACTGTTAGCGTATATGATAGCCACGATTTATGGAATAACTTACCATAATAGCAGAGATTTGATTATGC